CATTCGGCCAGGTGTCTGGTGCTGAGCACTAGGAACCCCCATCTGTGGTTGGGGAGCTCAGTTTCTGTTTCCTTCTGGTGCTGACTTTGCTGAAATAACTGCTATAATGGCCACAGCATGGTCTTTTAAAGGCACCAAATGCAGAAAGAGAAACGGGGTTTAGGACTACAAAGATGATGAGGGCCCTAGAGCATCTCTCTGATGAGGAAAGGCTGAGGGACTTGGGTCTGTTTAGTCTGGAGAAGAGAAGGCTGAGGGGGGATCTGATCAACACCTATAAATACTTCAAGGGTGGGTGTCAAGAGGATGGGGCCAGGCTTTTCTCAGTGGTGCCCAGGGACAGGACAAGAGGTAACGGGCACAAACTTGACCATAGGAAGCTCCATCTAAACATGAGGAGGAACTTCTTTCCTGTGAGGGTGGCAGAGCCCTGGCAGAGGCTGCCCAGGGAGGTGGTGGAGTCTCCTTCTCTGGAGACATTCAAACCCACCTGGACACGTTCCTGTGGGACCTGCTCTGGGTGGCCCTTCTCTGGCAGGGGGCTGGACTGGATGATCTCCAGAAGTCCCTTCCAACCCCATATCTTTCTGTGATTCTGTGGTTGAAAGGATTAAGGGCAGAGCTGTTGGCTCTCTCTGCCCAAGACTTTTCAAATAGTTAAATACCAGTGAAAAAAACAGCACTTTATTGTCTCCCAGAGTTGTTGCTGTTCAAAACAAACCCTTGTGTGTCTTATCAGAGCTTTCAGAACACAGAAGGGGATCTGGGTGGCGTGAGAGGGCAGCAGATGGAGGTGATAACTTCGAGTCCTGCTTGGGGAGGCACTCAGTTACTGCCTGCTGGAGGTGAGGGTTCTACCTCTGCCCCCCTGTGTCATTGGTGAGCTATTTTTGGGGGGTTTGGAGCTCTTTTTGGAGGTTCCTAGATGGTAGAGTCCATGTGGGAGGCAATGGCAGGCTGAGCTGCCTGGGTTTGAGGGGAATGGACCATACAGTGCAGGTGTCTCATCAGGACAAGTGGCCAGAGTTGAACCCCAGGGAGGAGTTACCTGTCGGCAGAAGGGTTTGAAGACACTTTCCAGTAAGATGCTCAGTGCCCAACATCTGTGGCTTTCAGGTGGAAATAAGGAGCAGGACTATGACTTTTACCCTTGTAATTTATGGGTAGGACTGGGCTGGAGGAAGTGGAGCGCTGTGGTCCCACCTGGGCAGAGCCCTGGCCAACCTGCTTTGGATTCAGCAGTGACCACGCTTCAGGCCAGAGGCTGGATGTTCTAAGTGTATTGACCAGTTCTGAGATGGCTTTCATTTCGATGTTGGAAATGTTTGTCTTTAAATCCCAGATGGGCACCGAAAATCAGGAAGTTTGGGGAATAATAGGGTTGTTTCAGGCATTAGAATTAATTGCTCATAGAGTTTCGATCTGAAGGTGCTGTTTGTGCAGAAATCTGTGTCAAAATCTTTTACGTCAACCCAATGGTGAGGGGAAGGACTGAGTGAATATGTTAAAAAGGGGTAGAAAGAAGGGTGTGGGTAGCCCTCAATAATTGGGGAGAGGTGTTTTTTTCCCAATTACTGCTAACTGCAAAGAGAATTTGGTGCTTTTTGGGAAGAGCTGGTCGCATGAGCTGTGCAGCCCAGGTATGGTGGACTTGATGTCCTGGGATCCAGGACCTTGGTTCCTCTCCATGCTTTAGCCTCGCATCAGGTTTTTGCCAGGTCAGCAGAGACATTCAGAATATTGTCTTCCTTGAGTATTTGGGCTTCAAGAGCAGCGTGAAACGAGACCAACGTGCAGAGTTGTCCTCTGGTTTGACTCTGGGCTCTTCAGAACGCTGTAGGCAAAAATTGCTTTGATTGGAGCTGGTTGTAAATCAGCCCTACCTGCCTTGACAGCCCACTTGGACAGAGCTTTTCCTGGTACTTGTGATGCGTTTCATAACTGTCTGGCCTCTGGAAGGAAAACAATACAAGGAATCCCTAACAGCAGGTTGATTTAATCATTTTACCAAACGTGCCAGTGAATTGTTATCACTCCTGGTTGCCTGGGGAGCTGCTAGTTTGTCGTGTCAGAAACCTTTCTGAAAATACATGGCGTTTGTACTTGGATTTTTACAGCTCAGGTCTGACGGGACAAATTCATTGATGGGGGGAGCATGGAGACCTTTGGAAGGGAGGAGGAAAAAAGCTTTTTACGTGGACGCTCCTGTTTTCTCCGTGCATGAGCTTTTAGTCGGTCTGCAAAATCTTGCTGCGTTTGAATCGTGTAATTATTTCAGTCTAAAATTGCATTTAATGTGCTTCACCCCTGTGTTGGCTCCAGGGGTTGGTTGCCTCTGAAATGCCACCGTGAATCCTGCTCCCGTGCTGCCAGTCTCCCCTGGGTGACACTTCCAGGAGAGCTGTGGTGGCCAGGGAGTCACTCCTTGCGATGTTCCCCATGGCAGCAAAGCCCTGGTGTGGACGTTCAGCTGCTGAGCCATGTCTGTGCCTCAAAAACTCGCCCCACCAGCCCCACCAGCCAGCTTTTCTTGTGTCACTCTGGCGTTATGAAGGGCTTTCACCAGAGATCTAAGCGCAAGATGGGGCAGTGTTTTGTTTGAGGTGCGAGCTGTTGACATACGGTCCAATAAATGTAGTTATTGGAAAAGCTAAAGATAATATTTACCTTGAAAAATCCATAGTTGGGAATAAATGGCCACATCTGCAGCTGAGGGGATTATTGTCTCCCAGAGTTGTTGCTGTTCAAAACAAACCCTTGTGTGTCTTATCAGAGCTTTCAGAACACAGAAGGGGATCTGGGTGGCGTGAGAGGGCAGCAGATGGAGGTGATAACTTCGAGTCCTGCTTGGGGAGGCACTCAGTTACTGCCTGCTGGAGGTGGGGGTTCTGCCTCTGCCCCCCGCGTCACTGGTGAGCTATTTTTGGGGCGTTTGGAGCTCTTTTTGGAGGTTCCTAGATGGTAGAGTCCATGTGGGAGGCAATGGCAGGCTGAGCTGCCTGGGTTTGAGGGGAATGGACCATACAGTGCAGGTGTCTCATCAGGACAAGTGGCCAGAGTTGAACCCCAGGGAGGAGTTACCTGTCGGCAGCAGGGTTTGAAGACACTTTCCAGTAAGATGCTCAGTGCCCAACATCTGTGGCTTTCAGGTGGAAATAAGGAGCAGGACTATGACTTTTACCCTTGTAATTTATGGGTAGGACTGGGCTGGAGGACGTGGAGCGCTGTGGTCCCACCTGGGCAGAGCCCTGGCCAACCTGCTTTGGATTCAGCAGTGACCACGCTTCAGGCCAGAGGCTGGATGTTCTAAGTGTATTGACCAGTTCTGAGATGGCTTTCATTTCGATGTTGGAAATGTTTGTCTTTAAATCCCAGATGGGCACCGAAAATCAGGAAGTTTGGGGAATAATAGGGTTGTTTCAGGCATTAGAATTAATTGGTCATAGAGTTTCGATCTGAAGGTGCTGTTTGTGCAGAAATCTGTGTCAAAATCTTTTACGTCAACCCAATGGTGAGGGGAAGGACTGAGTGAATATGTTAAAAAGGGGTAGAAAGAAGGGTGTGGGTAGCCCTCAATAATTGGGGAGAGGTGTTTTTTTCCCAATTACTGCTAACTGCAAAGAGAATTTGGTGCTTTTTGGGAAGAGCTGGTCGCATGAGCTGTGCAGCCCAGGTATGGTGGACTTGATGTCCTGGGATCCAGGACCTTGGTTCCTCTCCATGCTTTAGCCTCGCATCAGGTTTTTGCCAGGTCAGCAGAGACATTCAGAATATTGTCTTCCTTGAGTATTTGGGCTTCAAGAGCAGCGTGAAACGAGACCAACGTGCAGAGTTGTCCTCTGGTTTGACTCTGGGCTCTTCAGAACGCTGTAGGCAAAAATTGCTTTGATTGGAGCTGGTTGTAAATCAGCCCTACCTGCCTTGACAGCCCACTTGGACAGAGCTTTTCCTGGTACCTGTGATGCGTTTCATAACTGTCTGGCCTCTGGAAGGAAAACAATACAAGGAATCCCTAACAGCAGGTTGATTTAATCATTTTACCAAACGTGCCAGTGAATTGTTATCACTCCTGGTTGCCTGGGGAGCTGCTAGTTTGTCGTGTCAGAAACCTTTCTGAAAATACATGGCGTTTGTACTTGGATTTTTACAGCTCAGGTCTGACGGGACAAATTCATTGATGGGGGGAGCATGGAGACCTTTGGAAGGGAGGAGGAAAAAAGCTTTTTACGTGGACGCTCCTGTTTTCTCCGTGCATGAGCTTTTAGTCGGTCTGCAAAATCTTGCTGCGTTTGAATCGTGTAATTATTTCAGTCTAAAATTGCATTTAATGTGCTTCACCCCTGTGTTGGCTCCAGGGGTTGGTTGCCTCTGAAATGCCACCGTGAATCCTGCTCCCGTGCTGCCAGTCTCCCCTGGGTGACACTTCCAGGAGAGCTGTGGTGGCCAGGGAGTCACTCCTTGCGATGTTCCCCATGGCAGCAAAGCCCTGGTGTGGACGTTCAGCTGCTGAGCCATGTCTGTGCCTCAAAAACTCGCCCCACCAGCCCCACCAGCCAGCTTTTCTTGTGTCACTCTGGCGTTATGAAGGGCTTTCACCAGAGATCTAAGCGCAAGATGGGGCAGTGTTTTGTTTGAGGTGCGAGCTGTTGACATACGGTCCAATAAATGTAGTTATTGGAAAAGCTAAAGATAATATTTACCTTGAAAAATCCATAGTTGGGAATAAATGGCCACATCTGCAGCTGAGGGGAGTGAGAATGAGTGAGCTGCTTTCAACTGAGCCACCCAGCCCAGGTTTCACCATCCGAGGATCCAGGCGAGCCGGTCAGGTGGGTGAGTGAGCAGCCTAAAGGGATGTATATTGATATAGCAAGCAGTTTTCGGGGGGGAAAGGTTTGCTCTTCGTTAGCCACTAAGTAGCTGTGCCTTCTCCTTTGGAGTTCTGCCACCATTTGTGACCCTTTTCTTTCTCTTCTTCCTTCTCCTCCCTCTTTCTCCAGGGTTTAATGCCATGGCTGCAGATGAAAGCGCTACGGAAAAGCAAGCGGGGGAACCAAAAATGGCAGTAGACGGTGAAACCAACGGTTCCTGTGAGCACAGCGAAGCTGGGAGCCACCCGAACCCAGCTAAAAACACTCAGGACAATACGAAAGTGAGCCAGCAGGACTCTAGTACTAAATTAAATAGGATAGCAGAAAACGGCATTTCTGAACGAGATGGCGAGACTGGGAAGCAAAACCATATGAAAGCTAATGACTTCACACAGACTTCTGTAACGGGGAGCAATGGATATATTCTCACCAAGCAGATGGCACAGGAGCAGCCTCTAAGGACTACCAGCACCTTTGCTTCTCTCACCGGCCATGCTGCAAAAACCCTTCCAGGAGGAGCAAGCAAAGGGAGAACTGTGGGCTCCTTTTCTCAGATGCAAGCCACGATGCCAGCCAAGCTCGGGGAGGGCAGTAAGGACATGGATGCTAAAAAAGCCACCGCTGCTAACGCTGAAGTCAAGGTCCACAGAGCACGGAAGACAATGCCTAAACCCACCCCTAGCCTGGTAATGTATATGCCCAGTCCTGCCTCTGCGATTGTTCTTGGCTTTCTTTGAGTGCATAGTTCAGAGGTCTCTCACTGAGTGGATTGATTTTTAATTTTTTTGATAGATATACTTTTTTATTTTTATTTTTTCTCTTCCTACAGAGAGGCAGAGGTGTTAAAATAGAGTCACCTGGCCACCATCAGCTCTCTTCCCCGATGTGTTTCTAAATATGTAATTGATCAATTCCCTTCTCCAGCAGATCTATGGGAGACACTAAATGGCCTTTCTCCCCTGGTTGTGTTGCTCAGCAGCCGTCTGCTGAAATCCAGAGCTGCTGCTTGTGAAACAAATTAAGTTTCTTATAAGTTCGACCCAAAGGAAATTAAGCATAGTGTGTTAACTTGGGGCTTCTCCTGAGCTTGGAAGCTGTCAAGAAGCTGATGTGTTCGGCAACTTGATTGCCTTGTAGTATCGTTATAGTAGTAAAGCAGATGATGTTTTCTCTCTCTCTCTCTCTCTCTATGTTGCCTGCAGTAACGCAGCTTGTTCAGAAATCTTCACTCTGGAATCCTTAGGGGTGGATTTACCATCACTTAATAAAACACAGCTCTGCCTTTTTTTTTTTTTTTTTTTTGAGGCAAAAGGAGATGTGAAGTCATCTGTTGTGTTCATGTTATAGTGGGGTGAAGGGGAATGGGTCTTTCTTTCCTGTTGGCCAAGTTTGGTTCTTTTGATTATTTTTTATGGTTCTTTTGCCAATAGGGAATAGATATTGGAAGAGGCAGATCTCCAGAGTGAGCGCTTGGTCTCCAGCCCTGTGGCACTTTCTATTTAGAATCAGAGAATTGCCTGGGTTGGAAGGGACCCTTCAGATCATCTAATCCAACCATCAACTATCTTTAGCTACAATGAGCTAGATCCTCTCCTTGTGCTGTGTCTAATGATGGAGACTGGCCGTTAGGTGTCCTGCACCTAGGTCAAGGAAAGGATTGCAAGTGTGAGTGACACCCAGAGATAAACAGGGAGCTGTTGCAGCTGTGTAAAAGTTGGTCACAATAACAACCAGTGTATTATAGACCAGCCAAAATCACAGAATCCCATGGGGTTGGAAGGGACCTCTGGAGATCATCCAGTCCAACCCCCTGCCAGAGCAGGGCCACCCAGAGCAGGTTGCAGAATGTGTCCAGGTGGCTTTGGAATGTCTCCAGAGAAGGAGACCCCACCATCTCCCTGGGCAGCCTCTGCCAGGGCTCTGCCACCTTCACAGGAAAGAAGTTCCACCTCCTGTTTAGGTGGAACTTCTTACATTCAAGTTTGCGCCCATTTCCTCTTGTCCTGTCCCTGGGCACCACGGAGAAAAGCCTGTCCCCATCCTCCTGACACCCACCCTTGAAGTATTTATAGGTGTTGATCAGATCCCCCCTCAGCCTTCTCTTCAGACTAAACAGCCCCAAGTCCCTCAGTCTCTCCTTGTAAGGGAGATGCTCCAGGCCCCTCATCATCTTTGTAGCCTCTGCTGTCCCCTCCCCAGCAGTTCTCTGTCCTTCTTGAACTGGGGAGCCCAGAACTGGTCCCAGTGCTCCAGCTGGGGCCTCCCCAGGGCAGAGCAGAGGGGCAGGATGACCTCCCTCTACCTGCTGGTCACACTTTTCTTGATGCCCCCCAGGATGCCATTGGCCTTCTTGGCCACCAGGGCCAATGGGCTGGCTCATGGGCATCCTATTGTCCACCAGGACTCCCAGGTCTTTCTCCTCAGAGCTGCTCTCCACGCACAAAATGATCCTCAGATGTCACCCACCTGTGGCAGCACAGCCATAATGTGATGGGAAGGTCTCAAAGCTGTGAATCCCTGTGGTCTGGAGCAGGGGAAGAGAGGTGGGTGGGGGAAAAACCCCAAACCCTAAATAAATACGTGTGGCAGGGATCCAGCCCCAGATGGGGAAAGGTCCCGGTGGCTGTGGCACCACCTGTGCCTCCGGAAGCAGGTGGGGAGTCCAAAGAGCACATCAAGATTAGGAACCTCGTGGGCACCAGGCCTCAAAAGCAGGGCAGAAACCACACCTGCCATGATGTCCCCACCCTGCTCCTCAACCACTCCCTTCCCCTCTGTCTTTCCCTGATTGCATTTGAATTCTCTCGCCCCCCTGCCCCCGCTGTGTTTTCGGGCAGGCAGGCAGGGGGAAGCCCGGATGCAATTCATCCAGCCTGGTGAAAATCTTGAATAAAGCTGTCTCTTACCCAAACAAGGCTTTTTGTAACCCAACCTGCCTCTGAGCTTTCCTCCAGCAGCCTCTTGTGCTGCTTCAGTGAGGCCGAGCAAACCCCCAGACCCTTGTGGAATTTGAGAGGGCGAGATCCCTCGGGGCTGAGCAATGGAAAGAGGCATTTTCCCTTCTAAAAGACAACTGCCAGGTTAGGAGGGAGTGTTTGCCTCATTCATAGTTTATGATACATCAGAAGAATATTTTTACGCAACCCCTTTGGGCTTCAAGGTTTGTCTCTAGAAAGCTGCGTGCGGCGTTTGCGGAGGTTCCCAGCCCGGGTGCTCCAGTGGCTCTGATGGTGCTGGTGCTGGGAAACCAAAGCCTGCAGGAGCTGGTGGGGCTCTGCAGAAAGATCTAGAAAGCTCTAGAAACCTTTGCAGAGGTTCCCAGCCCGGGTGCTCCAGTGGCTCTGATGGTGCTGGTGCTGGGAAACCAAAGCCTGCAGGAGCTGGTGGGGCTCTGCAGAAAGCCCCCAGTCTGTCCCCAGCACCTCTGGCCGTTTCCCCAGGGCTTAAAATAGGGGGAAAAGCAATATTTCACAAGAAGGATGGTAAGAAGGGGCCGTTCCCATGTTCTCTGCACATCTGAATGCAAACCCAAGATCTGATCTCATTTCTGCAAGACAATAAAACATCTGTTTCGTTCAGCCTTCCTGATAATTACTACCTAATTTTTCCTCATTGTCTTTCACATTTACAAGCTATTTTCTTTTGAGTAGCAGAGTCCTTGCTACTTGTCAATGCTGGTTGTCATTTTTCTGTCCTGATTATTTCTTTGTTGAGCTGCTTACAAGAGGCTCAGCAGCAGAGCCTTGCAGTCACTTCTCATGCACCACCCTCCACAGTCACACCTTTTCCCCTTCAATACCACCTCGATACCAGTTGCTGTATTCCAGGAAATAAATTGTGGAAATCACCCAGAAATGGGTGTTCCAGCACGCGGTAGTTTTCTTTGGTGATATTTTTTAGAGCATTGTTGTTTTTCTGAGTAGTCTCTTCTTGCCAACCTGTGCTGCCTGGGAGAAGGAGGGGAGGAAGGTGTTTTGTTGCCTGTAAAGTGTCACCATTTGTTCCTCCCGGCTCCTGCAGAAACCCACTGGGGCTAAAAAATTATTTTCTGTAATCCAATAGCTCTCAGGGGACCGTGGTAGCCTTTTCCTGCGTGTGTGGATTGTTCTTTGAAAGGAAGAAAACAATTTTCTCACAAATTTAACCGGCTTTTTCTCTGTTTAGGAGTTCCTTCCTGAATTGGGATCGAAGCTGAATCTGAAACAGGTGACAATTTTAATTGATGTTGTCGCATGTTAAGGTGGTTTTCAAACAGAGCCTCGGAAGGGTTGTTGGCAGCATCATTTCTGCTCCCCTTCGAGCAGAGCAGTAACACAGGCGTTGCACCTGGAGGGAAAGAATCTTTCCTTCTTTCCTAATCCATTTACAACCTTAATAAGAACCCAAAAGTTTCCAGGACCAGGCAACAAACAGACTGAAAGGCAAGTGTGTGCATGTGTGTCCTGTGTGTGCAGGAGGCCCCTCCTGCTCAGAAACGGCCGTGTCTGAGCTTGACATCACTCAGATGTGTCTGGAAGGGGTAAAAGATGATAAAGGTAGGGAAAGCATCCCATAGTTATCTCTTGAGACGGGTGCCTGAACTGGGAATCCCAAGTTGTTTCCGTTCATGCCTTGGTGCCCGTGAGGCTGTGTATCTCTGGTGGTATTTTTTAATGCTGAGCAGAGGAGCGGGACAGGGGAACTCCACTGCCAGAAGACACAGTGCAGAAATCTCTATCTCAGCCTGCTTCACAGTGTGAGCCCAGAACATCCCAGTTTGAACTGGGAGAGACAAAGCCTGGGCAGGAAGGAGGAGCTTGGAGCAGGAGCTGCTTTGCTTATATTGGTGTTTCTACTGATATTTGTCTAAATACACCTTGAAGCAGTGTTGCCACTAAATATCTGGTCCCAGGACCGGGAGGCTGCTTTCTCTCTGTCTACTCCCAGGTGTTGCTGTTGCTGTAAAGCATTCTTTTCCGTGTCGGTGCCCAGCAGCACCGCGGGGATGAGCTGATGTGGTCTGTGGGTTGCTCTGAAGGAGCTCCTGGCCTAAGAACATCTTGAGTTCCTCTCTCGGGGCCAGGCAGGTGTCACTTGGTGGTTTGCGAAGCGTTGGGGATTGCTCAGCAGGCTCAGACCCTCCCAGATGCAGAGAACTCGAAACAAAGGGCAGGTCCTGGTGGGGATGGTGGATGGGATGTTGCTTCCTTGGGATGGGAGGAAGTAGATAAAAATAAGAGTGCAGGGCATAGAGAAATAGAGCTCTCCTCCTGATTGCAAGTGGTGCTGGCAGCTTGGCTGAACCTAGAAGGTGCACCCATGGAGGATCCTCTGCAGAGGGCTCCCGGGGCATGCAGGCAGATTGAAGGTGTCCATGTGTGCAAGCTCAGCCACACTTAAATACCCCTGATGGGAGATGTCCTTCAGGAGTGATGAGGCCATAGACCCCACCACTGGGCTTCTTATACAGAGGGTTTACTTTAGAGGGAGGTAGAAAGTGAATGTCTACTGCACAGTACTTTTAGTGTCATATTTAACTGGTGGTGCTCGGCTGATGGTGGCTGCCCCAGACCACAGCCCACAGAAACAACCCTCCCAGGTCCCCAAGCAGAGCTACTTCTGTCTGGAGGCTCGTTGTTGACACTGCTTTGAGCTGCCCTGCCCTGACTGGTGTGTGACACTCCATCCCCTCCTGTGGCTTCATCTCAGAGGGGACAGAGAGGACAAGTGGGCTCAGTGTCCACACCTCTGGACGCTGGTTTTAGACCCACCAAGTGCAGGTTTGTAGCTGTAAACCCGTGCAATTTCATGCAGATACCATGACCACACACAAATCAGTGCAATTGTAATCAAAGTCACACTGGAATCTGCTCCTCTAAATGGGCATGTGTTAATCTGTGGATAAAAGGGCATTAATAGGTGGCTCACCCTTGTGGCTTTTCTGATCTAGTTTAAGACCAAAGCCCTGCAGGTTTCCTTTTGTCCCTCCAAGGTAAGGCTTAGGGCAGGGGTCAGGATCTCCCCCAGCACCTGCCCTGAAAATCAGTAGTGAAACTATAATTCTGCAGCTGGGAAGGGAAGGGAGTAGCACCACTGAGCTCCTACAGGCGCTCTCATCTGCCTGTGATAAATTTTTTATAGCAGACTGATATTTCTTGCTTAAATATCATTCACCAGTTGTTAGAGGCAGGTACCCCTGGGAGCTGCTGCTTTGTGCTGTTCAAAGGCAGCGCCTCGGTACAAATCTCGTTACCCCTCCGCATCCAGCTGATGGCTGGAGAGATGAAGGTGGCCTCATGACATCTGCCGTGTTGCCCGGTGGCAGTGGTGGTTAGTTTAGTCCTCCTGGCTACTTGGCTTTGGTTTCAAGCTTGTACCGTGTCGGAGATGAAAGTCCTTAAAAGAAGACAAATCATATGAAGAGCGGCTGAAGGAGCTGGGGCTGTTTAGTATGAGGAAGAGGAGGCTGAGGGGAGACCTCATCACTCTCTACAACTACTTGAAAGGACCCTGTAGAGAGGTTGGTGCTGGTCTCTTCTCACAGGTAATTAGTGACAGAACGAGAGGGAATGGCTTCAAGCTCCAACAGGGCAGGTTTAGATTGAACATTAGGAAGGAATTTTTCCCAGAAAGAGTGGTCGGGCATTGGAACAGGCTGGCCAGGGAGGGGGTGGAGTCCCCATCCCTGGCTGTGTTTAAGGGCCGTTTAGATGCAGTGCTGAGGGACATGGTGTAGGGGAGGACTTTGTAGAGTAGGGGAGATGGTTGGACTCGATGATCCCAAGGGTCTCTTCCAACCTCAATGATTCTATGATTCTATGATTCTAAGAGAAACAAGACAGCTCATAGGTCTAAGCTGGAGATGGTGTGGGGTCTGGAGAGCGATCATCAGTCCTTCTGGGGTGCTCTTTGAAGCTGCCCCGCTCCAAAGCGGGACCTGCAGGACCGTTCCAGAGTCCTTGCACCAGCACAGGGCTGGAGTTCTGGGCTGGTTTCTCTTTGGATGGTGTTAGGTTCCTCACTTTCGTAAGGAAAGACCTCTTAATTGCCAGGCTGTGGGAAGAATGCCTGGTGCGGTCTGTCGAAGCAGCGCGGGGTTTAATTAGTAAGGTTTGTTTGTTCTGTATTTTTGCTTTTGGAAAGAAGAAAAAAAAAAAAAAAGAGGATATTCTGTCTTTTGCCATTTTCAGTAACTTCTCCCTGCTGCTGTAGGGGACTTCTGTGCCAATAATAGAAACACGGTTGATCCCATTAGAATGTAGAAAGCATTTGAGATTAATTTTTATAAACACAGAAAACATTGTGTTCTTCTCCCAATCTAAGCAGTTTTTTGACAATTTTTCTCACAGTGCTGTCGGAAATACTTGTGGTCCCCACAAGCATCTGTGGCAACATTGGCCTGAGCCTTGGAATAGCCTTCTTCAGCTTTTTGACTATTCCATGCAAAGTCCATCATGAAATACAGACTTTACAGCCTCGTGCACAAGATGAGCTGATACCGCATGAGAAGCTGCAAGAAATGAAGCTGTTAGTGATGCAGTTTCTTTCTCTTATCATTTTTAGTCCTTTCTTGGCCACCAGTGGCCCACATGTGTGGTGGTGAGGACAACGTGTGAACATGGGGAGCGCAGACTGCATCTTGGAGTTGCTTTTGCACAGGGTTCTCCTCACTGTATTTCTTTAATGCTGTGGTTGAAAACTGTGCCTGACTGCAGCGACGGAGTTTATTTAGCATCAGGAATAGTTCTTCTTGCCTCTAATTTTGCTCTTTGCAGTGGAGTCCGTGTAGGTGTTACGTGAAGACACCTCTGCTGTCTTGAATGCTTGGTGGTTTAAGTGAAGGAGGATGATCTTCATCCAATTTCTGAACTTTGGAGCCTGCGTAGTTAAAAATACGGGTGACTCAAAAGCATGCTGACCCTCGTTAGTACTCTTAGGAGATTGGTCCAAGCCCAGGAGATCACTGCAAGCCCTGCATCGCTCCCCTGGCCTGGTTGCTTCTGCTTCACTGGTGCCAGTCTGGCATCTTCCACCTTTAGCAGAAGACCCTGAGTCTTCAGGAAATGAGGCAGGGACGTGTTGGGATTTGTCACAGTGAGTTGGATGAGTAGATATTGACTAGGGAGCAGCTCTGTTGGGTTTGTTGAAGCATCTGCTGTTCACAGCCCCTTTGTGCTTTGCTAGGACCAGTGTCCTCTGCTGGGAGAAGGTAGGAAGCTGGGAAGCAGGAGTGTGCTTGGATGGATATTGGACTGCAAGTGGTACTACAGATACCTGCTTGGTGCTGTGCCTTCTGCTTGGAACAGGGAGGGCAGGAGGAACCCATTCATCATGAAACTGGAAGAAGGTGGCACGTGACATGAGCATGAATTACTGTCAGCTGTGCCAGTGTAACCCACAGAGGTGGTTTAGAGCTGGGTTCTACCAACCCCAAGCTGGGGCAGAGGGTGGCAGGGCTGGAGGTGGTTGTTCTGCCTGTTATGTAGGAGAAACCATCTGCGGTTTTCCTTGGACAGCCTTTTCACAGAATCACAGAATTGTAGGGGTTGGAAGGGACCTTTGGAGATAATCTCCTCCACCTCCCTGCCAGAGCAGGGCCACCCAGAGCAGGTCCCACAGGAACGTGTCCAGATGGGTTTGAATGTCTCCAGAGAAGGAGACTCCACCACCTCCCTGGGCAGCCTCTGCCAGGGCTCTGCCACCCTCACAGCAAAGAAGTTCCTCCTCGTGTTTAGGTGGAAGTGTTCCAGTTTGTGCCTTGTTTGTCACCTCTTGTCCTGTCCCTGGGCACCACTGAAAAAAGCCTGGCCCCATCCTCCTGACACCCTCCCTTTAAGTATTTATAGGCGTTGATCAGATCCTCCCTCAGCCTTCTCTTCTCCAGACTAACCAGACCCAAGTCCCTCAGCCTTTCCTCATCAGAGAGACGTTCTAGTTCCCTCATCATCTTTGTATCCTCTGCTGTCCCCTCTCCAGAAGTTCCCTGTCCTTCTTGAACTGGGGAGCCCAGAACAGGAAACTCACAGGAGCTAAGTGGACATGCAGCACTTTGAGAAATCCTCTGATGGTGCTGGGGGCTTGGATCTGTGAGCTTGGTGTTTAAATAGAGCACTGTACTTTTTTTCTGTTTCTGTTTTGCTTTGATAGGAGCCTGGTGTGCCCCAAAATGATCTAGCACCCACTCGCCCACTCCCAGATATGCAGCCCGTGTAGCTTTTGCCTTTCATTCTTTAATTTGAACTTCCCCGCTCTCCTCTGCTGAGCAGTGGCACGGGCTGGTTGGGACAACCTGGGCAGCGAAGGACACAGAATGTCCATGTGAGGAGGGGCTCAAAGTGAGCCTGAACCAGCTCTTGGCCAGCGTGATGTAGTTTGAAGGAAGAAGACATTTCCCAGCAGACTTCCTCTGTCCGGGGAGTATTTAAATGTGGAGCAGAGCAGAAAAGCTCAGCGTAGGAGACCAGGATGGGCTGTACCTACAGGCTGGAGTTAAGGAACTGGCAGAATTGGGAGACGTTAGAAATGGGGAAAGAATAAAGTTCCATTCATTTGCTGGAAGAGTAAAATTTAATAAGAGCAGCAAAGATGTAACTGGTTTATCTAGTTAAGAATGAAGAAGGATGGTGAGAAAACTGAGTATTATAAGTCCTTTCAAATCTTTGCTGATCCTTTTTATTACAATCCCTGGATTCAGTAATGTTATACATACATATATTTGTATATATGAGGGAGATACATCTTTTACCACTGGCCTGCCCACCTTCCCGTGCCATCAGGCTTCCAGAGAGATCCAGTCACCTCTCTGCAGGAATTCTTGTTCTTCAGCATTGCTGTGTATGCCTCCAAGGGACAATCCAGATCTCACAAGGCTTAATTTGATATAAAAAACTGTTTTACCGGAATTGCCGTGAAAAAGTCACATTTAACAGTTGTCATGCAGCCCTATTGAAGCTTTTTAATTTATTTCCATATTGTAATTACAGGGGGAGAGAAAAACCCCAAGCTAATAACGTACTACTTTTTCATTTAAAATTTGATTCTGTTCTTCCAAAGAGCCTGGCATGGGCTGGATGGGAATTCCTGGTGTTTGGGAGGAACAGCACATTTTATCAGAGACCAACTGCAAGAACCTGTGCTTAAAGGACAAAAAGTGCAGCCCTTACGTACACTTGTGGAAGGCAGCTCTTTGTCCCCCATCTGCCTCTCCCAAGCTCATTTTTCTAATTTTAAGTTAAAAATGGAAAGTGGTGGATGTTCCGAGGGACTCAGGAATTCTCAGAATAATCTTGTAGCCAAGAGTCACCGGTAACCTTTCCATCTATGAACTAGGGACTTTTAAGAGGTATAAATAGTATTGTTGGGACTATTCTTGGCATGCTGTGCCCAGCACTCCTGACGTACATTTTTTAAGGGGTGGAACAACTGGGAGCAGTCTCAGGAGTGAGCCAATGTCCAGAAAGTGGTCCTACGGACGCTTGATTTGCTCTTTCTATTAAACTTATTGAAGAGAAAATTAAAAATGCAAAAAAGAGTTGATCATAGTCCGTAAGTATCTACTTGGAGCGAGAGTTTCTGATGATACAGGGCATTTTAATTTAGTTGAAAAAACATAATGCATTTAATTATTTGACAGTGAGAGCAATTAAACGTTGGAACCAACATATCAAAGGATGTGGTAGATTTGTCGCCTTTGAAATCGTAAATCCAAGACCAGATGCCTTTTAAGAAGAGATGTGGCAATTCAGCCAGAAGTTATGGGCTTGATGCAAGGAATCATTGGTGATTTGATGGCCTTTTTATGCAGGTCATTTTTGATTATCGTTACAGCTTCTCTGCCTGTGACCGAGCCCTCACTCTCTGCCCACAGTGTGCACGTGGCAGAGCCCTAATTAGGAGGATCAGCCGCTTCTCCGTTTGCTCACAAGGTCACACCGCTTGAAAGTGGTGTCTGTCTGAACCTGGACTTTAAAGAGTGGTTTTGTTGCTCGCTGCTTTTTATTCCTTTCTTTTCTTTCGCCTGGATTCCTCTTTCTGTTTTGGCATTTCAGCTGTTGCTTCAGAAGTCCCATGAAGGAGTATTTTCCTGCAAGCGGAGCAGCCGCTGCAGGGTTTGTAATCTCCAAACGGTGCTCTTGGTTTGCTGGAGCATCTCGGCCAAACCTGCCTCCTGCTTGACAGTTGGGTGGACAGATGTATGGAGAAGCGTTGGATGCAGCTGGGGTTAATCCAGAGGGCAAATCCAGTGTAAAAACCTGGATGGAGATGAGGTTAATCCAGAGGGCAAATCCAGTGTAAAACATCAAATCAGAGTGGCAGAGTTTACCCCCAGCTCTGTTGATGCAGTGGGTGCTGCAGGAGGTGCAGCTCTTGGAGACATGGGGCTGTAGGAACCCCATGGAAGGAGACCTGTCACTGAGTACCAGCTCGGATCAGAGCAGGTGGGAGCTCCCCAGGAGCCTGGCTCCAGCGATGGAGAGTGCAAAATGACCACAAAACTCTCTTGGTTTTTAGCAGGAGCTGGTAGCCTGCCCCGTGTTTGGTGTCACGACACCTGGATGGGGAGAACCTGGCATAAAGTAGGCTTGGAGTGGTCTTTGCCGTGGCAATGATAGGATGGCAGGACGGTTGGTGAACCTGCAGTGTCAGGCAAATACCTTCCTTGCCCGTGTTTTGTTGTGTGTTACAGTAGAGGTTGGAGCCTTTGCTAAGAGCTGAATGTGCCAAATGCTGTCTGAAAGGAAGGATCCCTTCCCCTTATGGAATCACAGAATCATATGGGGTTGGAAGGGACCTCTGGAGATCATCCAGTCCAACCCCCTGCCAGAGCAGGGTCACCCAGAACAGGTTGCACAGGAATGTGTCCAGGTGGGGTTTGAATGTCTCCAGAGAAGGAGACTCCACCACCTCTCTGGGCAGCCTCTGCCAGGGCTCTGCCTCCTTCACAGGAAAGAAGTTTCTCCTCATGTTTAGGTGGAACTTCTTATATTCAAGTTTGTGCCCATTTCCTCTTGTCCTGTCCCTGGGCACCACTGAGAAAAGCCTGGCCCCATCCTCCTGACACCCACCCTTTAAGTATTGATAAGCACTGATGAGACCTCCTCTCAGTCTTCTCCAGACTAACCAGACCCAAGTTTCTCAGCCTTTCCTCATCAGAGAGATGTTCTAGTCCCCTCATCATCTTCGTAGCCCATTGCTGCCTACTCTTCCTAATTGTCTCTGCAAGACTCTTCTGGTTCATGCTTGATGTGACAGCCGTGCTTGGGACACATTTCAGGGAATTAGTTGTATTTGCTGCATTTGTTGGCCTTCTCCGGAGCCAACCAAAGGCCTGTGTCAACAGTGTCTGACCCTGTTCATCACCCGCCGTTGGTTTGGACCTGCTGGCCCTGTCTCTGCGGGGTGGCCTCTCCCCTTCAAAGGCAACAGCCTTCAGCAAGTGAAGGAGCAGCAGGATGAGGGTGTTCTGTGGTCTTCAGGCAAAGCAACACTCTTTGCTAGAGGAAGGGCTATGGGGTTTTGCTTTGATTGTGTGGTCCTATCTGGAAGCGAAGGGGACTGTGCTTGAGAGAAAATAATTAAGTTTATTTTCTTGATTGTTTTGGTTTTTTTTTCCTTTTGAATGTGGAGGCTCAATTTAACTGCATTTTGTTTTCCAGCATGCAAGTAAAGACCCCAAAGATGGGAGAGACAGCAGAGATCAAAAAGAATCCAAGGAGGAAGGCAACAAAAACATCCTGGAGTTTGGGAAGCCGTTGCCGTTGCCCTCTCTCCCGGGCCTTCACCAGTCACTACCTCAGAACCAGAGCTATGTGGCCACCACGAAGTCGCAGACGGGTAAAAAGGGCAGAGTTAAAATTCCTAAGATCACCCACCTCCTGGAATTGTGTGTATGGGGTTGAGTGGGAGATGAGGCAGGTTAACAAGGAGCGAAATCTCTTGTTAGTACCTTTTTCCTACTGCATCTCCTTTGGGCATCCTGTTCCTGCTGCCATCAGACCTGGTTTGACAGACGCCGTCTCATGTAGCTGCTTCTCTGCAAGCGTGATGTTTGTGTCCTTTGGCCTCCCTCCTGGTCTCCTGTGGATGGTGTAGAGGGTACATTCTTGCAGTCCTCTGTTAAAGTAGCCTCCCAAGTGCAGTCCCTCGGTTTTCTGCTCTGCAGGTGCTCGGTGTGGGCAGGTAGATGTTCTCCTTCCAGCACCACCACACCCAGGATCACTCTTGCTGACACTTGTTATCAGAGGAGACACTTCCATCCCATCTTCCTGTGTGATGTTCTGAAGGTGTCTCTATCAATTGCGAGGGACTGTGTCAGTCACCACAACTGATTACCGTAAACTACATCCTTATAAATAATCATATTGGGTTAACAGATTTTTGGGGAGGTCTCTTCATAGATTTTTGGTGAAATTTCATCGTAGAGAGATGAAGAAATGCTTTCAAGGAACAAGCTGTGCAGCTGCAAATGCTGATACTGGTGGTGGGGCTGGCTGTCCCCTGCTGACGCTGTGCTTGGAAGAGCCTGTGCTAAGTGTCCTTCTGATGTGAATTCACCAAAGACAGCACCAGGCAGCGAGGTGTGATGACTGATTTGATTAGAAGGCCAGGAGGGAGACTTAACAAATTAAGATCCAATCAAAGCAGTGAAAGGAATCAAACAAACTTCCATAGTAGGTGTGAAATGAGGTTAAATGGCAAACGGCTCTTTATTTAAGGTACCTTTTCCCTACGTGTTCCTCAGTTATTGCACAATTGCTTTTATTGTAAGTCGGTGTTATTGGCCTTGCAGTATCTATTTGAGCAAGTGGGCTTCTATTCAGCCTCCTCCAGCATCAGCAGCACCACCAAATGCAGGTTAATTTAAGGATTTGATAATGTATATGGTGCTGTAGGGGCCAGAAGGAACGTGGAGAGGATACTCAGAATTTGGGTGGGTTTGCGGCGCTGGCAGAAAGCTCTCTGTGTGTTTGCACGTGTGTGTGTATGTGTCATCTTTTGGTTGTCTTGTAAATAAGTAAGTTGGAGTGGGAAGCCTTTTCCTGAGATCAGGCCCTCAAATGTGGTTCCCCCAGTTACAGCCTCTGCTCTCTGTCACTTCTCCTTTTCATTCCCAAGCAAACTTTGGGGTTTTTTTGTTTCTCTTTTCCAGCTGCTGCAGTATCTCGGAAGAAAAAACGGAGAATGGGAACCTATAGCCTGGTTCCCAAGAAAAAGACCAAAGTGTTAAAACAGAGAACAATGATTGAGATGTTTAAGAGCATAACTCATTCCTCTGCGGGTGCCAAGGTGAGGGGAGCACTGAGCCCACTGGACACGTCCGTTGTCACTGTCCATGTCCCTTGTCCTGGCACACCAGCCCCATGGTGCTGCTCCTTCCTTCCAGGAGCTTCCAGGTGCTGGCTGGTTACCGTCACCATCTTCCATTCTGAGTCTACATCTTCTCTCTGGTGACACCATCCTGGCTGTAGCAGCCTTGCTGCTTTGAAAATGGCTCTTTGAGGGTGGCTGTACCAAATCTTAAATAAACATTTTCCAGTGGAAAATGTTTCCTATGGAACTGGGGAGATTTCAAGCATACCCCATGTGGTAACCCTTTTGTTTCTGAGTCCTCAAGGTAACAGTCTGGTGTGGCTGCTTGAGGCTCTACGGCAAAATACCTGGTTACTTTAAAAAAGTTACAACAGGGACTTCCTTCTAGTCGAATTCCACTTTTGCTGCAACCCATGGTCTTTGAATTCAAGGAAAACAGTGCCAGGCTTTCATGGAATGGAATGAAAATCCCTCTCTCTGATTTAACTTCCCTTTCCATTCCCTTGAACCATTCTTGCACCCTCGGTATGCCATGGTGGAGCTCCCTTCCATGTCTGAGTGAGACTGCAGGGCTCTGAAGGCTCCTGCCCAGCAGTTCTCCTCCCTTTAGTGCCTTCTACAGCCCATGAGTCTGGAATGACTCCTCGTGGCTCCTCGTTCCCCAGCTCAACAGGGTTAGGTGACGCATGGCAGGCTCTCAGGCTGGCTGTGCTGGTGGCACTGAGGAGCTCTGGAGGGACACAGAGCCAGCCCCTGGGATGGATTCACCTGCTCTGACCTATGAATTGATGTTGTCTTTGTGGCTCCTGTGCTTGGGCGACTTTCAGAGTGAAAAGGACCTGGGTGATGCCAGCCCTCACGTGAACGGGGAGAGCATAGATGTAGACTCTGAAGAGGAAGACTCGGATGAGTTGGAAGAGGATGACGATCACGGAGCAGAGCAGGCAGCTGTGTTTCCTGCAGATGATAACAGGACCTCTAAAGACAGCGCGTCCGACGCAGACAACACCCGAAAGGTATTCACATGCCCTGGGCAGGACCTGAAGGAGCAGGATGGGATGCTGCTTGTACCCAGGGGGTAGGAGCGGCACAAATTGAGACAATTTCTAGGTCTTCTTAGCCTGCCAGATGGCAAAAAGCGCAGGAGTGGAAATGAGGGGGTTTGGTGACCTTTTCCTGCTCCCCATTGCACCTGTGAGAGTCTCCCCATCTCCCCCCCCAGCTTCAGCCTTGCTAAATAAGTCTGTGGTTCACTCTACATGCAGAACCCTCACCACATTTAGTTATGGGATTCACTGAACCGTAAGAGATGTCTTCCTCATCTTGCTTGTAGCAGGCTCATAATGCACTAAAATTGTCTTAGACATTTTTTCCCAAATTATGATATATAGTGTAGGCATGAGGCTGGTTTTGGATGATCATGGAAATTAAGATTTGGCTGGAGAACTTTCTTCTGGGTTCGATTTATTATTTTTTTTTTGCCCTGTACCATCCCCATGGACGTACCATGATGTGCATTAAGAACCTTGGAGTTCTTGTCCTGGAGGGGAAGTTCTGATAGTCCGTGTGCAGGATGATAGAGGGGGGGGCACAGCAGGATGATGGGGGGATACTCTGCCAGGTGGGGGGCACAGCAGGGTGATGGGGGGATACTCTGCCAGGTGGGGGGCACAGCAGGGTGATGGAGGGATGCCTCGCTTTGAGAGACCCGACCTGACTGATTCTTTCTGTCCTTGGGCAAATGGTGGCTGCAGATTGATGATGTCGAGTCTGAGGAGGAACAGGAGTCAGGAGAGTCTGTGGAGGAGGAGGAGGATGGAGATGAGTCTGACTTGGTGAGTCTGGCTGCTAAATGTGTCTTTCAGCCTTTGTCCTGTTGATAATATTTTCCCCTTTGCGCTGCTGCCAGAGAGAGAACGGTGCAGTTTCAGGTCTCTCTGACAAAACTCACTCTCTGAAACCACCCACACACAGAGTATTGTTTTCCACAAGGTGCTTAACCCTGATCTGTGATACAATTAATTGCTTTCTGCTGCTAATTGATGGGCTCTTGTTTGTTGTTTTCAACAAGGTGTCAAATGCTTTTAATCGTTTGAATGTTGGTAGAAATATTGAGGGGTGATTAAATTCTTTAGATGCAGACTAGGAGTGGTAGGAGCCAGCAGTGTTTCTTGAACAACCTGAAGCTCAGCAGGCCTTTTTGGAGTCTGGGTGGAGTTGTTCCCAAATCCACTGGCCCAGCCCACAGCCCAAATTCACATCGATTTGATGTGTAACCTCCTTTTTTCAGGGAGACACAAAGATCACACAAACAGACAGACACACTCCCTGGGAGAGTATAGTGCTAGGGCAAGACTTTCACCAGCCGTTGGTGGTTTTTAGGTGGCTGGTGAAGAGGACCTGATTTTTATTTAAATTGTTGTTCACTAATTGTCTCTGTCCCCCACCCTCCACTTTACTTTAAAATTTTGCTCCCTTTCCACAGCACCTCAAGTTGAGGAGCCAGCATTTAAGGCACCCCAACTCTTCAGTCACCTTTGAGAAAATCCTTGGTTTCATTTTTTTGATGTTTTGAGCTGAAAGTAGAAATGATCATAGAATCATAGAATGGTCTAGGTTGGAAGGGACCTTTCAGATCATGTAGTCCAACCATCAACCCAACACTGACAAAGCCATCTCTAAACCATATCGCTGAGCACTGCATCTACCCATCTTTTAGATACCACCAGGGATGGTGACACAGCCACTTCCTGGGCAGCCTGTCCCAATGCTTAATAATCCATAATGATGATACTAAGTGAATTGTTGAAGCTTTTAGGGTCACTTTGCTTGTGCTTTGACACAACGGAAGCCAGAGAGGCCCGAGCAGCAGGGCCTGTTGCCTCCCCCTTTCTTTGGGTAGCTGAGCTGTAGCGTTAGCTCAAAGCAAGGCTTGCAGTCAAGACCAACCTCCTAAACTCATATCTCCACGTCCTACACAGTGGTTTTTGCTCTACTCGTATCTGGTGAGTCAGTCCCTTCCCCAGACAGGGACTGGCTCAAATGCAAACCAGCGTGATGCAATTGATGTGAGCCACGTGGCGGGGCACGACCGAGCCCACGCTCGGGGAGGGTTGGGGGGACGGTGTAGAGACACCGTAGAGCTGCCCTGGAGATCTCCTGGCTCAGCACCACCTTTGCCTGGCTTCACTCCCCGTGATAACAGGGCATGGTGCGGCATCGGCATCCCCTCAAGGTAGGCCATGGAGATGGGGCTTGACCCAGCCGCTGGGAGCGGGAGCAGGAGGTTTTTCGTAGGTTTGGTGGGAGATGGATGAGGTTCAGGAGGTGGCAGTTCCCTTTTGAGCATGACTTTTATGATTGATGCGTTGAAAGCTGCCTTGCAGGGATGGGGTGCCCAATTCCCTGTTCTGATGTTGGCTTTGCAAACCCACCCCAGACAACTGTGTTTTTTAACCCAACTCCTTTTTAGATTCATGTGTGTCTGGCTGTTTGCTGCGTGACTGGTCCCTGCTGCTGGGACACCCTCTGGGGGCTGCTCTGCTGCTGTAGAGTTCAAGTCCCCCCTGGGTCCATCCCAGCCCTGTCAGGTGGCCCTTTAGGTGCAAGGCAGGGTTTGGGTGGCATTTTCTAGCACGACTGTGGAACATGGGGAATATTTTAGTTTGAAAAACCCACAGTTTTTGTGGGGAGAAGCTAAAAGCGTGCGTGTGCCCGAGGTGCTCGGCTGCTGCTGCGATGAGTGTGGTGTAAGAGCCTCCGTGGAAGAGAAAGTGAAGCGTGCACTACTGAAATGACAGGAAATACACCCACACGTGTGCTTGTGTTTCCTTTTCCGTGGCTATAAAGACATCTTAGCACCACTTGATTTCAAACCCCCAGTCCTTAAGGCCTTTTTGCACGACTCGAGCTGGGAGAAGGCTCTCTCGCATGGGCGCAAGGGACTGCTGGGACGCTGATGCCAACATGCCTTACATGCACGTGGCCTCTCTGGTTATTCAGAGCTCGGAGTCCAGCATCAAGAAGAAGCTGCTGAAGAGGAAAGGAAAGACAGACAGTCCATGGCTGAAACCCACCCGCAAGAGGAGACGGAGGAATAAAAAGAAACAAGCCAGTGTGTTAGGTAACTAATTGTGTTTTGTTCCTTAACTACACGGAAATTAGCTTTCCAGGTGGAGGGGTGATGGCCTTCCATAGGGCAGTGGCTCTGTGGAGCTCGCTCTTCCTTTTCAAGGATGGGCTGTATGATAAACCAGGGTGTGAAATGGCATCTCACTGGCAGTAACTGGTGGTGTGAGCACTAACAGCAGGATAAATACGTTTTGTTCATGAACTCCCTGTATTTTAGAGTATCCAAGAAAGACCTCATGGACTCATGTCCATGTGGAGTGTGATTAGATGCAGAAGGGAAAGGAAGAACCACCCTAGAGTGATGCTTAGTTGCTTTTGTACAGATATTTTTCCAGCTGAATGGAGTGTGCAGGTTGTCTTTGCTTATTATGAAAGCTTCACTGTGTTTGTAATGAGCTCCCTCTGGCCCATCTCATGGTGGGGAGATCCTTCAGGTGGTCATTCTTGTTTGACCTAAGTCATCCAGCAGTCAGGAGAAGGCTTTGGTGGCCTTCATCTCCTGAAAGCTTTGGGGTGGGGAGAACCAGGAGTGCAGGCTGGGTGTGATACTACTTCTTCAGGAAAGGTAACAACATGGGTAAAAAAAGGCAGATAGTCTCTGAAGTGAAGCTGTGCCTTCAGCTTCGTTATTAAGGTTTCACACATTCATTGCTATCAAAGGGTTTATTCTTCTGTGTTTGCTAATTCGTTGCAAACAGGTCATTTTTTTTAATCAGCAGATTTGTGGCTGCTTCTGAGCTAAATGGGCACGTTTCAACCTCTGGTCTGTGCCTGGGGTTTGTCAGTCACCTGGTTTGCTCCTCTTCCTCCCAAGGCGGCTCAAGAAACAGGGGCCATTGATCCAGAGTGAATGGCTAATCCTTAATTTCTGATGCAGACTGGTTTTCCACCCCTTCAGGAAAGGTGGTAGCCAGTCCTTCAGGCTAACACAAGTCTTTGGGCCAAGCCTGAGTGGGAGCAGCAAACCAGGAGGGAAACAGAAGAGAGTGATGATTCTCACAAAGGCTCCGAGATGTCCCCACACAAGCTCTTCCCAGCAAAAAATCCCCTGTACAATCTCTTCCCAGCAGCAGCTTTGTTCACTTAGAGCCAGAACTTGGCTTTTACATTTTTCCCCTCCCATTAAGCTGGATGTCACCCCAGCAGTCAAGAGAAGGCTTTGGTGGCCTTCGTCTCCTGAAAGCTTTGGGGTGGGGAGAGCCAGGAGTGCAGGCTGGGTGTGATACTACTTCTTCAGGAAAGGTAACAACATGGGTAAAAAAAGGCAGATAGTCTCTGAAGTGAAGCTGTGCCTCCAGCTTCATTATTAAGGTTTCACACATTCATTGCCATCAAAGGGTTTATTCTTCTGTGTTTGCTAATTCGTTGCAAACAGGTCATTTTTTTTTTTAATCAGCAGATTCGTGGCTGCTTCTGAGCTAAATGGGCACGTTTTTCTTCAGGAAAGGTAACAACATGGGTAAAAAAAGGCAGATAGTCTCTGAAGTGAAGCTGTGCCTCCAGCTTCATTATTAAGGTTTCACACATTCATTGCCATCAAAGGGTTTATTCTTCTGTGTTTGCTAATTCGTTGCAAACAGGTCATTTTTTTTAATCAGCAGATTTGTGGCTGCTTCTGAGCTAAATGGGCACGTTTCAACCTCTGGTCTGTGCCTGGGGTTTGTCAGTCACCTGGTTTGCTCCTCTTCCTCCCAAGGCGGCTCAAGAAACAGGGGCCATTGATCCAGAGTGAATGGCTAATCCTTAATTTCTGATGCAGACTGGTTTTCCACCCCTTCAGGAAAGGTGGTAGCCAGTCCTTCAGGCTAACACAAGTCTTTGGGCCAAGCCTGAGTGGGAGCAGCAAACCAGGAGGGAAACAGAAGAGAGTGATGATTCTCACAAAGGCTCCGAGATGTCCCCACACAAGCTCTTCCCAGCAAAAAATCCCCTGTACAATCTCTTCCCAGCAGCAGCTTTGTTCACTTAGAGCCAGAACTTGGCTTTTACATTTTTCCCCTCCCATTAAGCTGGATGTCACCTGTCCCATCCTCTTTGTGACATCCATGGTGAGCTGGAGCTCTCTGCCTGGCCGGAGCGTACCTGGAGCCCTGTGAGCAGGTCGGAGAGAGGAGGAGGAGGATGTGCTGAGCCCTGGTTTCATCCCTTCCTTGTGCCATTTAAGCTTCTGCTGCCGATGCAGTACAGCAGCAGTACAAATGTGCCTTTCGGAGGCAGAACTTGCCTCTTTTTTTCAGTTGATACCTACCTACGTGGAAAATCTGTCTGATCAGGGGAGGAGATGGGAGATCAATCGTGCCATGTGTGCCCAGATGTTGCATTTTCATAATTCTGTGTGCATCTGTACTCGTGGCCTCTGAGGAGCCTGCCTACAGCCTGCTGCCTTAACTATGGCCCTTACGCCTGCACGTGCTTGCGCGGGATTGATTTATTTCATTTTTAGGATTATTTTGAGCTGTGTGAACACGCGTGTCCTTCCATCCAGGTGCCGAAGCCTATAAACCATCCTTGGGAGGCCGAGAGGGCCCCGGGCAGGAGAACAGCATGGAGTACATGGAGGTGTCCCTGGATTCCCTGGATCTGCGGGTGAAGGGGATCCTCTCCCAGCCCGCGGGAGGTGAGCGGGGGCGGCCGGGCCGGGTCCCGCCGGGGCCGGGGATGGGCTTTGGGACCGGGGCCGGGACCGGGCCTTTGTTCCGCCGGGCGGGGCCGGGGCGGCGGCGGGGGCCAGGCTGCCCCCTGGCGGCCGAGGGGACCGACCGGCCGGGGGGCGG